GCGCTGGTGGAGATGGGGGTGCAGGGAGGGTGGGAGCCTGGAGGAGATGAGAAGGCAGATTTGGCAGTGACGGGGCAGGAGGAGAAGCTGCTGGGGAAAACATGGGCAGAACGGAGGAAGGAGGAAACCACCCCAAGGAGGATGAGAAGAAGGAGCCAAGAGGGGACCGCAAAACCGGTGTGGCCCCCCCGTTACCTCCGCTCCTCCGAGGGTGCTCCCGTCCATCGTGGGAATGGCTGTTTTCTGGGCAGGATGCTGGCCAGGGCGTCAGCCGCTGGGAGGGACGCATTGGCTCCATGGAGCTGGCAGAAGACATCAGGAGCGGAGGGTGAGGATGAGGAGGAAAGCCCTCTGAGAGGAGCAGCCAGCTCTTACAGCCCCTTCTCCACAGCCAGGAGCAGCTCTCCTGGCTTCCACCCGGAGCAAAACACCTTTGCCATCGTGGCTTTGGGGTCAAGATCTCACCCTGCCCCCAAAAACCTCCGGCATGGCTGGCTGCGACACTTCAAGCATTCCCCTTCGGGGCTCGGATGCACCACGGTGTGGCCACAGGGCTGGAAGACCTTCTCCTGAGGTTGGGGACACTCAGTAACGCTTGGCGTTGAGCCGTGCAGCCGTGGGAGGAAATTTGGCTATGAAAAGCATCCCTGACTGGGTGCAGCCCCTGTAATGGGGACCTTTGGCTCCTCAGCTCCCGTCGGTGACACCAGCGATGCGGCGATGTCCCCATCCCCACCCACCGCCCCCCTTCCCGACACTCACGGTGGAGGAGAAGGGTCTGTAGTACAGCGTCATCCCTGCTCCTGCGGTGTCCCCGGTCCCCCCGGTCCCACCAACCAGCCCTGCCTGCCGGCGGGTCGCCACGGCTCTCCCCGCCCCAAAACAAACCCCACAGCGACTCGGCCACCCATCCCATCCCCACGCCTCCCCCCAAACCGCCGGCCAGCGGACTTACAGCGATGCTGGGGGGTTGTAGCATGAGGAAAAGCTGTTTTTTTGGGGTTGTTTTTTTTTTTTTTTTTCTTTTTCCCCAGGCCCTTTTTGCTGGCAAAGGGATTTAGGTGGCGCGGGGGCTCCCGGCAGCCTGGCACGCCGGCGGCTGTTGCTACAACACAACCCTCCTCTTAGCAACTCCTCCCTGCAGCCACTCGGCGCCTAACATCACCCGATTGCACCCAAATGGGTGCGTTCCAGCTGCAGGTAGTTGGTTCGAATGCTTCTCGCCGCCGGGCGCCCGCATCTCTTCCCCTCTTTAGCATCCCTCCAACCATCATCTCTTCCCGCTTCAGCATCCCTCCCATCATCATCTTTTCCACCCTTTCGCATCCCTCCAACCATCATCTCTCCCCTCATTCACCATCCCTTCGACCATCATCTCTTCCCCTCTTCAGCATCACTCCAACCATCATCTCTCCCCTCCTTCACCATCCCTTTGATCATGACCTCTCCCCCCTTCAGCATCCCTCCAACCATCATCTCTTCCCCTCTTTCAGCATCATTCCAACCATAATCTCTCCCCTCCTTCACCATCCCTTTGACCATCATCTCTCCCCCTTTTCAGCATCCCTCCAACCATCATCTCTCCCCTCCTTCACCATCCCTTTGACCATCATCTCTTCCCCTCTTCAGCATCCCTCCCACCATCATCTCTCCCCCTTTCAGCATCCCTCTGACCATCATCTCTCCCCTCCTTCAGCATCCCTCCCACCATCATCTCTCCCCCTTTCAGCATCCCTCCAACCATCATCTCTCCCCTCCTTCGCCATCCCTTTGACCATCATCTCTCCCCCCTTCCAGCATCCCTCCAACCATCATCTCTCCCCTCCTTCACCATCCCTTTGACCATCATCTCTTCCCCTCTTCAGCATCACTCCAACCATCATCTCTCCCCTCCTTCACCATCCCTTTGATCATGACCTCCTCCCCCTTCAGCATCCCTCCAACCATCATCTCTTCCCCTTTTCAGTATCCCTCCAACCATCGTCTCTCCCCTCCCTCCTTCAGCCTCCCACCATCATCTCTTGCCCCTTCAGCATCCCTCCCACCCTCCCACGTCCCATTCCCGCTTCCGAAAGCAGCGGGGGCAACAGGCAGCAGTCCCTTTGAGGTGTCCCTTTGAGACACCAGCCCCTCGCTGGCCCCACCCCTCCCTCCCCAGTCCCATCCCAGTTTCCGCAGCAGTTGCCTTATCTCCCGCTCCCAGCAGCGCAGACCCAAGGAGGTGACTCGGTGGCAGCCACCGCCGGGTCCCAGCGCGGCCGGGTGGCTCTGGCGGTGACAGCACCTCATTTCCATGCCTTGGATGCCGGCATGGAAACGCTCTCCCCTCCCAGCACGCTCCTCTGATGCTTCAAACGCTCAATTAACTCCTGAGTT